GAGAGAGAGAGAGAGAGACAGGGTCATATCAAAGTGGAGTCAGCTGTCTTAACCGTGGCTTGTGTACTGCAAACACATACCAGCTTCATCACTGTGTCTGTCACGCGACTCTGTTCCCCTTTCGGGCTCTGTCTTTACATTCTATTGAAAGATGAAGCTCACGATTATGGTAAGGGTGATTATTTACATTTCCGACAAGTGCTTGCGATGTTCGGCCAATCACAATGCACTGGGTCAGCTGGCCAATCAGAGCAGACTGCGCTTGTCGGAAGGAGGGACTTTGTAGAAAACGAAGCGTTTGAGAGAGGCGGGGCATAGAGGACCTACAATAATGTACAGTATTTGAAAAATAATGTGTTTTTTTAACATTAAAGCATGTCAACATATTCTGTTACACCAAATACACAAAATAATGATCTTTAAAAAAGCATCATATGACCCCTTTAATTTCAACATCCAAGGCTTTGTTTGTTCAGCAAGTGACAAATGTGTCAGAGCTTCAATGCATTAGATTATTAATGCACGGCTCATTTTTCTAGTCCGAGGAAATTATAATACGTTAGCCTGTGCAAAATGAATTATGAAAAATGGTGCCCTGTCATTCAGCAAAATAAATGCATCACCAATCATGTCGGCTTAGCTTTTATAACAGTTACGGGGGTGCTGGACAGCCCTTTAGGAAAGAATTCCTATGCATCAATTCTCAATATAAAAATCAATCATTACATGAAACACTTCATCTTAATTGCATACTGTAGAAGCTACACAAAGGTGAATAATAAACATTGGATTACTACATAAGGCATTAAACAAGCACCATAATGATCTTCATCTATGGCCTGAAAATGGGAATAACCTCAAGCGACAGTTTCGTCAGGATTGGCAGTCTGTCGTGTATTCCGATGATACCATAAAAATGCTGATTATATGCTCATACAACGGCAAAATGGAAAACCATGCTACAAAGCAACAGCCAAAAAGGGATCAGATGTAATTACAACATCTGTGGACAAGAACTACTGTACTGATTATGGGGTATGTTTCCATCTACTACTTAGATCAGAAACATCTTATCAGTGCTTGAATGATGTTTAACTAAGATACACATTGCAGATACTGACTGACTCTGGCTTCAATTTCATATTTAGAGAAAGATATACAACAGATTAAGGGATGAATCTCAAAGATAACACAGGAACATCATCATAAAAAACACCTGATGCAAAAATTAATCAGACAAAGCCAAAATAATGACCATAATACCATATAATCTGGAATTAAAACTGCCTGACTAATAGTGGATGCCAAGTTAGTGCTCACAGCTGTTTTGAGTCACTCTGCCTAAAAGATGAGGAGATAAGTCAGCTAACAACCCATTTACAACTTATTTCAAAGCAGAAAGAAACTAGGTTTCAACTTAGACAGCACTTTGTGTTTTAGCTTTCAAACAGGAAATATGCAAGTGTTAGAGGCTGTGTAAAAACCAAGACTTCTACTTCTACTTTCTCAGATGGGCAAAAGAGAGAAGCTGGTGCCATAAAACTGCTTCTGTGTTGATCTATAAGGCCTTGTGTGGTGTTGATTTGGGCATGAGAGACAAAGAGCGAGAAAGAGAGCTGCCTGGTCATTTATTTCCTTAAGCACAGTGTGATTTTCCATACTAATTTGTTTAACTGTGAGATACAGTTTAACACACCTCTTGTTTGCTGTCCGACAACTGACTAGAATTGGGCACAACTCTATTTTGAAAAGTAAATCATAGTTTATAACATCTGTCCAAAATTAAGCCACATTAAACCTCACCTACTCGTGAGCTTAATACCTTAATTTTTAAAAATTACATAGATGATTTAATTGCCGATAACGCGCTTGACATAAGAGCTTTCTAAATCAGTTGTACACGTCTAAAACGTCCAACAAAATACATGTATATCAATCCTGTCACTGAAAGGGTGTCTCATCCGTCCATAAATGTTTTATTTCATAATGAAGTGTCAATCCTAGAAAGCTTCCTATTCTGGCCTAGCAAAAAATACACACTTCAACACGTCTTTAACAGTAAATATGTCTTTGAAAGCATTCAGTCTATTTTTTGGAGCCGTCTTCTTGGCTAGTGGCTTAAAAACGTCCTTAAATTAGTGGCTGTCTAGCTGAACCGTCAAATATGAACTAAATACACGTTCAAATGTATTTTGTTTTACAACTAAAGCAAAATATATTCCCTCTCCCATCTGAAAACGGAATGAAATTCCGACAAAGCAGCTAAACAACTCCAAGCCTTGTCAGAGAAACATGACAATAATCCTACACAAATAAACTAGCTTAGCAACCCACCGGCTATGCTAACATCACATTAGCCGTTTAGCAGGGAACCTTTCAGTCTTTCGATTAAAACGAGCAGGCGAATGTTTTTCCTTAGGAATCATAAAAATGTTTTTACCTGCGTTTGAGTTCCCTATGTAGTACGCCGCGACATGGTCCTTTATTTAAGCTCTTAAAAGTGATTTAATTTCCCACTAAAGACCAGCCCGGCTTCGCTGTTGTCTCTTTAAGCCTACCGTTTCAGTGAGCGAAGCTCCGGCGTCCCCCGACACTCCCATTGCTGTGGATACGTTCTCAAAAGGGCGTAGATAGATTGGTGAATATGCGGCTGTGCTATCGCGCGCAACCGAAGCTCCCTACCGTCCCCACCTGGAGAACAACTCAAATGTTTTGTCTGGATCAACAGTTTGAGGGGTCCTTTACTGGAAATACTGGAGTCATCTTTTGAGAAAGAATTTACCAGGATCAAGGATGTGTAAATGTTTATGGTGATACCTTGAAAAGTTAATGGGAAAGCTGGAGATTGACAAGGCTGTGACAGAAGAGATTAAGTTTCTGCCTTGAGTGCATTGTCAAAAATACAAATTACTGAGAAGACGATTATATTTTAAGAAATTTTATATCTCACTTTTTTTTTAAAGCTGGATAACCGATCGATTTTTTTATATGTTACAGAGAGAAAATGCATATCTTTTCCCCATTAAGGACCATTTTATTTTGAAAGTACACTCTTAAAAATAAAGGTGCTTCACGATGCCATAGAAGAACCTTTTTGTCTAAATGGTTCCATAAAGAACCTTTAACATCTGAAGAACCTTTCTGTTTCACAAAAGGTTCTTTGTGGCGAAAGAAGGTTCTTCAGATTATAAAAAGGTAAGAAAGAGATGGTTCTTTAAAGAACCTTTGACTGAATGGTTCTTTGTGGAACCAAAAATGGTTCTTCTATGGCATCGCTTGAAGAACCTTTTGAAGCACCTTTATTTTTAAGAGTGTATAGCACTTTCTATAATGTTAATGTATTCTAATATTTAGAAGTGTTTTGCTTGTTGGACACTGCAGATGTTCCAATGGCTCTCACCTGGATACGGGCCTCCGGGAGGTTGATGCAGACTGCTAGTCTCTCTCTCATGCCCACATCTGGATACTGGGTTTGCTGAAAGGCCTTTTCGAGCGCTTGTAACTGGGACACACTGAAGGCGGTGCGACTGCGACGCTGCTTTTGCTGGTTCCCATAGCGTGCCTCAAGGATGAGTTCTAAATGAAGGAGATATTTATTACTTGCTTAATTCATTTCATGATGCCAGGGTTATTATAGTCAACTAAAATTGAAAGTAAAATTAAAACTATTAAAAACATTTTCGTTACTTGAAATAAAATAATCATCATCTGAAAAAAAAATGTAATATTCAAAAACATTTATTTCAGCTAGTTGACAAGATCATATTTTTAATTTGAATTTTTCCATTTAACTTGATGTACTTAAATAACTAAAACTGAAAGAAAATGTATACAAAAATGAGAAAAAATGCAAACACGACAAAATGACTAAAACTTTGAATAAAATGAAAATGGAAAATATAAAAATAAAAATTTATTTAAAAAATATTAATAAACCTAAAATAATATCTCAGTGACACTAAGGTAACACTGCACATGATACCTTATGCATGTAACACAAGCTACATAGGGCTCAAAAGTGTCCGCATAAAAAAATCATGGAAACAATTGTAAAAAAATGTAAAACAAATAAGCATTATGATTTAACTTTTTTAGGTGCACTATTTTTTTGGTCAACTTTTGTACATTACTTTATTATTAAGCAAATAAATGTAAAGTTAAAAATAATAATAAAGCAGGCATATTTATTAAAAAAATACTTTTATGTTTTATTATTATGTTTATTCCCTTAATGTTAAAACTTTAAAAACCGTGAGCATATAGGCTAAGAAACTTATTAGACATAGGTTTTTAATTTGTAATTATTCAAAACTTACGCAAAGCCTATAATATGAAGACTAATGTAAAGTGAGGAATCAGAAGTTACAATTTTACAAATGCTGCATCTATCCTGTAGACTACTTAATTCATATTTTGAGCCTCAAAAGTTAAGCGGCCTCTCACCTGCCAGGCGCTCCGCCACAGTGAAAGTCTGCATAGACGCCGGACTGGCCGCAGTGTGAAGCTGATACTGCTGCGCCATCTGCTGGTGAGCCTCGTGAATTAACGAGTTGACGCGTTGCAATTGAAAAGGCCCCTGGCCGTTTCTTGGTCCACAGAAATATACAGAATTCATTCTGCTGACTGAGAGGATAAATAAAATACGTGAGTATGATTTAAAATAAAATGATAAATTCAATGTTTCATTAAACACGTTCAATAAATAAACAACATAATGAACACTTACTTGCGACCTCCAGTGAACTGTGGAATGATGATCAGTTACAAAAAAACATTTACCCAGATTATTATTTTTGTTACTCATACAATACCAAAATCCCAAGGAAACATTTCACAGAAGCTGCTAAAATCCCCCAAAATATTACAATACGGTTTCTTTAGGCAAGGCAGACCTGTAATGCTCCACGTTCACATTGGTTTAGGTCCTCTCCAGCTCAGTTTCCACTATTTAAGAGGCATTAACTTCAGCTTCCTTCAACCATTAGCCAATAGAAAGAAAGGTATTAGCCTGGATTAGGTGGGATGAGGGAGAGAAAGGGGGGTTTGGGGCTCAAGTTTTTGAAACTATTGAACTTGGGAGATTTAGGCAAAGCATCTCCCTTCAATGAGCGGGCATTGTGCTCCCCCCTTTAAAACAATTAAAACAATGTGGTCGGCTAATCTCTGGGGTTGGGCAGATTAAAATAACAGCCTTTGATTGTCCGTTGTTCTCTTCCTTCTTTCTCCACCGTTCCCCAGCTTTTGTTAGTATTAACTCCAAGAGGGGGGTGTTTGCTTGGCTGGTTTGTTTTGCTAACTGGACCCATATTTTGCCCAGAAAATGTCAACTAGAGAATGTACTCTGGAAGTGGCCTATTAGGGTAATTTCTTAGGGCTAATGTACCAGAAATCTTTCCTTCTGATCAAAGAGAAGGATTTAAGCTATTAGCATTTGAAAATAAATAGAATACTCAATAAAATGAAAGACACATGGTATAAATAAAGCAATTTGCAGCCAGTGGTGTCAAAATTAGTTGTAATTATGCAATGAGACAGTTATGAAGTAAACTGAATGTCACTCCTTGTCATTATCCCATCATCCATCTCTCAACACTCACAAGCAGCAGTTTAGCTCCAGCTGAAACCTCAGTCACCTCAGATCAGATCATCCTCAGTAAAACTGCAGCCGAGCGGCTGGGAGCGGCTCAAGAGGTTCAGAGATGTAAATTCCGCTAAATCCTGACACTGTGCAGCTCAGGGCCAGGAAGGCGATGCGTGTGGAGAGCTAGATTATGTTTCCCACGAGTATCAGGGCAGTTGCACACTTCTCGGTCGGTGTGTGTGTGTGTGTGTGTCCCAGAGGGCAACACAAGAACCAAAACAGCAGGCAGGCACAGAAGCTGGGCTACACTGGCATGAGACTGGCACACAAACACAAGCTTCACCTCACATTTGGCTCACTTTCCTGCTGGAAAGATTTGTTTGTTTGTATTCAGACAGTCATGGAATTCCGGTCTTTATTAGAAAAGCACATTTGCACAATAAGATCTCTTTATATCTTTACACACGTCTTTCACTATGTAGATTATAATGGGAATGTTAATTAAATGCAAGTGCAGCTATATGCTGCTTGATGAACACTTTGATTATTCCTTTAGTTTTAGTTTTGTCTGTTTAATAGGTTTCACAGTAAAAATGCATTCAGATTTTTTTTTTAAAGAAATTAATACTTTTATTCAGCAAGGACATTACATTGATAAAGACACATGTAATGTTACATTTCGATTTCAAATAAATGCTGTTTTTTCAGTTGCTGTTACGATTTCCAAAAAAATATGAATATTAATAATAATATTAATTTAAGCAGCACAAATATTAATATATACTGTATTCATAATTCACATGACAGTTTTTTTTTTTACCATTTTCTGATCAAATAAAACAAGCCTTGGTGGGCATAAGAGACATTAATATTGAATATTATAGACATGAATATGAATATATAGACATGAATATTTAAGAAAATATATTTGATATATTTCTATATATTTACATATTTATATTGTGTTTGTCTTACAAACAAGTGAAATCGGTCTCATGTAATTATTTAAAAGCTAATAAAAAAAATTATATAGTCAATCTATAAAACATCTACATATAACTAACAGTGTCAAACAACTATTGCTGAATTTAATGTTCAGCAATTTATTTTTATTACAGTTAAATGTGAGAACTTTTGTATTTTTGTACTTTTGAACTCTCACTCAAGTATGTTCTGAGCCAGACACTTTGAATTTTAATACGGGAAAGTTTTGATACTGTTCCAGTACTTAAACTTACATATATCTTTATTTAACCTGAATATATACAACTATAAATATATCCCAGAACTATTTACACCTCTATCGGTCTCCAAATAATTCCAATTTGTGCATCAGTCCAAAAAAAAAAAAAAAAACATTAAAAAGTTTGCAGATGGGAGCCAAAAAGTGTTTTAAAATAAATATTTGTTGGTGGAATAAAGCCAGTTGTAAATGTTTTTAAAGCTTGGAGATTTGTGAAATCGGTCTCATGTAATTATTTAAAAGCTAATAAAAAAAATTATATAGTCAATCTATAAAACATCTACATATAACTAACAGTGTCAAACAACTATTGCTGAATTTAATGTTCAGCAATTTATTTTTATTACAGTTAAATGTGAGAACTTTTGTATTTTTGTACTTTTGAACTCTCACTCAAGTATGTTCTGAGCCAGACACTTTGAATTTTAATACGGGAAAGTTTTGATACTGTTCCAGTACTTAAACTTACATATATCTTTATTTAACCTGAATATATACAACTATAAATATATCCCAGAACTATTTACACCTCTATCAGTCTCCAAATAATTCCAATTTGTGCATCAGTCCAAAAAAAATAAAAAAAAAACATTAAAAAGTTTGCAGATGGGAGCCAAAAAGTGTTTTAAAATAAATATTTGTTGGTGGAATAAAGCCAGTTGTAAAATGTTTTTAAAGCTTGGAGATTGTATGCTTTACATCATTGTAAGTCTTTTTGGCTTCCTTTTTCAGCTGTCAAGTGGCAACAGCTCATCTAGACCAACACTTTCCACATTTCTGATATTTTCACACCTGACTGACCTTTCAAACCATCATGGAATTGTGCTGAACTTTTTCTCCCTGTGTTCAAGGCTCTGTTCTTGCCTGTCAAGCTGTATTAGTGTCCGCTCAAAATAAGTCATTTAGAAGAACCTTAGCCGAGCAGCCTCTGAACCCCATTAAAAGCTTGGAGCTCAGAGCCCAGAAGCCTTTGTCTCTTCAGCCTGCGGGATTAGTGGAGATTTGCTGCTAAGAAAAAAAGTAGTTATTTCATGGCACTTTCGTGATGAAACCTGGCCAAAGCTGTGTTGGCTGGGAGGATTAGAGCCACACAAAGACGCTGGTTGTGTGTGACCCCCTCCCCGAAAACCACCGCCCCAGTGCAGAACCCCCTCCTAACCCCAAACACACACCATCCCCACCTCATAACTCCGGCTCAGTCCGTAATGAGAGCTCCGTTTTCATCTCCAGCCCACTAAAATTGTGTTTCGGCTTTACCCCGACCCACTCGGAGACCACAAAGTGGTGGATGCATCTGGAATTTTCTCATTCAGATGTTTATTTACATAGGTGTAATTGGATGCAAACCCATTCATTTGTCTTAGTGCCAAGATATAGTCAAGCTTTGGAGGTTTATGCCCTGTCTGTAGAGTTTAAGGGGTTTAGAGGATGTATGCTAGTGGATCCACTTTCAAAGACACAGATTAGCAGCATTAAAAACACAGGCCAAACTAGTAAACTCATTTCAGAGTTTCAAAACCATAAAATAGCTTCAGATTTTGCTTTATTTTTTGCTTTAGGTCAAAAATAAAGAACTGGTATAGTATTTAGAAACACCTACACAAAGTATGGGCCTTTAATATTTAACTATTTTCTTCTTGAGTCCCACTTTAAATTTGTAATCTTTTGAAAAGTGTTAGCAGCTTATTTAAAGGGTTAAGGCCACATCGCAATGCTAAAGGTGAAACAATGCAGTGTTAGGGGCCGTTCACACAGAATGTGTTTTTACATTCCACTGCACTGATTTTCCATTGTTTTTCTATATAAACATGCGCTAGATGGATGTGTTTGACCATTTCATGCATGACGTGGAACGCAGTGGAAAAATGTAATTAAGATCAACTTTTAAAAAGCCTGTTTTTTTTCTGGTCCATGTTTTAGTTTTTTCCAAAAAAGGGGAAAACCATTCTAGAAACTTAGCGCTTAAGTTAAAAGAACTTCAACTTCTAAAAAGCGTGTTTCTAGGCCCTATATTTTTCCCCATGAAAGCTGCGTTATTTTTTTAAAGTTACTTATTTTAACATCAGTCTGTCATGCGCAAGATGCTGCAAAAGAAAAACACATCAAACATGTCCGTCTAGTGCATGTTTACATATTAGAAAAACAAACGTATTAGGAAAATCCGTGCAGTCACAGTGGAACGCAAAAACGCATTCTCTGCGAACGGCCCTTTTAGGACATAAGCGGCAGTTGCTCAGCAAAACTGAACAGTGCTCGTCTCATTAAATATTCATGAGATTTGCACAGAAACTTTCGCGAACAGTGTTTTTAGCGTCATACAGAAGTGATGGAAAACATTTTAAGTTAAATGAAGACGACATCATTTTAATATTAGAGTTATGATCCAAACGCTTGCTCAAGACCCACTGGATGGCGCATACTATATGATGCAAGTCCAATCAAAAATATGCTCATAAGACCGCAAACCTGGGATTTACGAATGTACAGTGTGATATGCCAATAATATAACTCCAGTAACAACTCCAAAAACATAACCCAGGATAACGATTTTAGTGTGAAATGTAGAAAAAACTATAGCCCAGGAACCTAAGAAATCTTGTTTGTACAATAATTTTATTGAGTGTTTGGGGTGCTAGTAGAATTCGGTTCTGAGTATGAGGAATCTTTTAGAATGGCTTTTATGAGCAGAATTGGACCTTTTATCTCAATGGAGGTTCTAAAGCTGCAGCTAACTGAAAGAGTTTTAATATGATTTGGATTGGTTTAAAACTACATGGGGGCTCTAGAGAAGGACAGAGGGGGTTCATTTAGCCTTTTGAGAGGTTTTGTTTACAGGTCCTGTTTAACAGATGTTGGGAGTGAGGAGCAGAATGCTCTGCCTTTCTTTAATTACTTATCAATAGTGGAAATTTGTATTGACAAGCGCCTGTCAAGAGGAGAGCTTTGTAGTTGTCAGTTATCTGAGAGAGAGCCGCTTAACCAAGAGGCCCCTTGGACACTCGGCGGATCGATTCCAGCACGGCACAATTGGCTCTCCGGGCAGCTCTGTGTGGACAGGAGTGTGTAAGGGGGGCCTTAGGAGAAGTGCTGTGGGACTAAAGACTTCTTCATAGGGGGAAATCGATGTGGCGAGCTTGGCCTCTGACCCTGCGCACTGAGGGTCCAGAAGCGTGAGGTCAGCAGCCCAGTTTAAGCTCCAGTAAGAGGCACCCAGAGATATTCTCAAAAGAGCCTCTGAACACTCAAACAAAAGCTATCAAACTCCAAGAAAAAACTAAACGCACTGCAGGAGTAAAACGTGCACCAGATGTTTACCCAGATAATGGACTGATCCCAACTGTTTATCTCCCAGTTAACTCATGAACACCTGTTGAAATTCCATTGAAAAAAAATTTATGGAGGATTTTTAAATAAGGTCCAAGCTATGCCCTCTTGAAATATAGCAAAGTTTTTGCAGTTTTTAAAATGTCAAAGTAGTGTTGAATACATACTTTGTATTGGGGGGGGGACTTATTAGGAAAACAGGAGCAAAAAAGGTTGTTTTTATATA